TTCTCGTCAGAGCATTAAGATATGGCATTGATTCCACTTCTGTGTGTCTTCTTTTTCGTGGTCCCGATGAATGTTATAACTCTAGAATTACACTGACTCAAGTGATGACAATTATCCAGATGAGGGATCCACCTCTAGTATGTATTTAGATGAATGGGGGTGATTGCGTGTGCGAGAATGATGAAAGTATAGCTTTTTTTCTTAGGAAGTGCCGTCAGATTATGTTGAACATTATGACGACAATAAGCTGTTGAGCCTTCTCCGGAGGGCTCCTGAGACTCCACACAAAACACCTCCATTAACTCGCGTTCAACCTATATAAACTTGTATTGCTACGTGTACAACCAATTCAATGGCAGAACGGGTGCAGACTGTTCCGAATGCGATTGTGCATTCCGTGTCTGCATCCAGACGGAGACATTCATAAACTTGATGGCATCAAGCAGTTTGGAAACTCCTGCCACGATCGCAACGGCCATAGTAAAGATGTATTCTTCCGTGTGCGTTGAGACCACTTTAAAGTTTCCTTCACCCAAAACAGGCAGATTACTTCCTTCGACATGACCAAAATGATCACTATCAACACCTTAGCTGTCGTAGCTATGATTGCTGTGAACAAGGCCAATGCGTCTTACGTACGCAGACTTACTGACGACGACAGTGAATCTTTGGACTTCGACTCCTCCGGCGACGACAGTGCATCGTTCTTGGAAGAACTCTTTACCAGTGAAGCGGGAGACACCGTCTCGAAGTTCGGTCAATGCGGAGGCATCGGCTACGTTGGCAACTCGCAGTGTGCTCAAGGCTATGTCTGCGTGTTATCGAACCCGTGGTATGCGCAGTGCCTGCCCAAAGGCTCGCAGACTTCAGTCCAGACCAAGAAACACAGGCACCGCTCCAAACTGCACACCGCAGATGCTGATCTCTTGGTAGATGACCTTACCGCTGACGTTGAAGTTATTCCAGCCTGGGAGCAATGCGGAGGCAAGGGAGTCGACTTTGACTTCACCAAGGACGACTTGGACGACAACGAGACGCCCAAGAAACCTTGCGAAGAAGGCTATTCCTGTGAAATCATTAACGAGTGGTACTATCAGTGCAAACCACTCGATAATCCCAGCGGTGTTCATCTCTGGGACCAGTGTGGCGGCGAAGACTACACAGGTCCGGAGGAATGCACTGCTGGATCTGTGTGCAAGTTCTTCAACTCCTGGTACTCTCAGTGTGTCCCCAAGGAACAAGAGTTCTCGTAACTTAGTTGTTCGCTCTTCACTAGCAATTTCTCGCTATAAATTCTCTTGATAATATAAAACATTACATGAATCCATTAGACCTTGAACAGTAAAGCAAGTTCATGTGGCTCATCATCGTGTATCCACAACAAACCACTTCAGAATCTTACGTCGACTATATACGTCCGCCCGTATCACGACAGTGACTTGTCCAGCATCGCTCGTATCTTTTGCGAAACTTCTCTGCTCCTTGACGAGGACAAAACGTTCGAGTATCGATGGGCTGCCATCGCTGAAAAATGTGTTGCCACGGATCTGGCAGATATCCCGTCGTCGTACATCGCTCCGGGCGGCAATTTCTGGGTCGCAACTATCGATTCAGCCTCCAACCATAGCGACGATGAGGTTGTTGGCATGGTAGCTCTACAGCGAGTGTCAGAAACAGAGGGAGAAGTGAAGCGCGTGTCAGTGGATACCAATCACCACCGAAAGGGAATCGGTCGAAAGCTCATGAATCAGGTGGAGAGCTGGGCTGTTGCCAATGCTATCAAGACGCTGAGTCTGTCTACAGGAGTCAAGAGCAAGAAATCTATAGCTTTCTACGTCTCACTTGGCTACGAGTTGCAGCCCTGCAGTGCTTACCCCACGTTGTTCAAGGACCCTCCCTACTTCGAGCTGTGCACGCTGATCAAGAAATTCTGATAAAAAAAGTGGCAATAAAAGTGTTTTTAGGTCTACTCTACAAACCGCAAGTCATTCAATTTTGCTTTTTGTCTGATTTCTGGAGTAATGTTGGGCGACGACGAAGAGCGCGGTCGCCTACGCCGCCTGACGCTACTGCAGCGCGTATTCATGGTGCTTATGCTGCTGATCTGCGTCA